TTGAACATCAGGTAGTAAATTCATAAAACTGGGGTAAGTCTTTGTTAATAATGGTCAAATTAATAAAGGAACAGATAAGCAGAAATGCTGTCGCTGTATTATATTTTAGGAGTTCAGTAGCATTAACATTCACTCGGAGGCTTTGGGGAATAACAACATTCAAGTTGTGTGTGGCAGGCAAATGGAGGAAGAAATGGTCTTCCAAGGCCTGTGTCTAGACGCTGTAAACACTCTCCTGCCTGACCCCTGCCTGGAAATGAGGTCCCAGAGAACAATTTTGCTAAGCAAAGATTATAGAGTGCCCCACAAACTTCAGAAACGGGGAATTCCTATAAAATTCTGTCATGATGATAATTACCGTAAAATGTTCACACAGAACTTGTAGTGTTACAGACTGTTAAGAAATCCTTAGAAAAGGGGCTAACAACGTTTTGGGCAAATTCCTAGCATTTGTAATTAGAAATTTTAAATTAAAAGTTTAAATACATTTCAATAAATGATAAATTAGAAATTCAGACTTCAGAGTGAAAGCAATCGTGAGAAAGAATGCTTTCTGTGAAGTATGCCCCACTTTAAGAAAGACACCGATTGGAATTTTCACCGCAGTTCAATTAGATATTCATTCCTTCAGCAAATATTTGAGTGTTTCCTGTGATGGGTCTGTGTAAACGCTGGGCATGCAGCAGGGAAACGAGACACAGCTCCCACCCTCATATTCCTTAGAAGGCCAGTAGGGTCTTCCCATGGAGATACAAAACAGCATGCCTAAACACATTCCTGATCACAAGCAGCCAAAAACTCTCTGGAGGAAAAGGTGCAATGAGAGAACAGAGGCATTTCAACATCAAAAATTCATAATTTGCTCTTTTCCCCCAACTTTAGCGATCACTGGAACATTCCTGTTTAATGGGTAGAATACCACACCAGTGATCCTTGGTGGGCTCATTCCAGGGTAATTGATTCATTTAAATTCACTTAAGGAGCTGCTACACAAATCCTACATTACATATATTTTTCTGTTGAGTAGAGCCATCTCTTAAAGAAATGTCTGGGTTCATATTTTGCATATTTATTATTGGCAGCCACTTTTAAGGGCTCACCTTATTATACATTAGTGGTTATGTTTTGTTTTTGTTTTTTAAGCAAGCTAGCTCAATAACATAATTAGTTTGCCTTCAGTTCCTTGATACCTCCACCTCTTTGAGGAGCTTGCCCTTCTCCCTGCCTTAGCCACCCACTTTCTCTAGTCACACCGCTAGATTTTGGCATTTCCCCCACCTGCCCCAGCTCCACAATTCCAAGCATCCCATTCTCAGACTGTTCCCAGCATTTGGGAGTGGGTCCCAACTCCAGCAATTATTAGACTCTACTAGGACCTTCAATCCATTTATCCTACACCTTTCCTTTGTCCTCTACTCCTTTATGTCCTCCCTTCCCTCCTTCCCACAGCCCGCCACAGTTACTCTGCTGCCCACACCCTCTGCTCTCTGACCCTCTTTCCCTCCATCACATCCACCTGCAAAACCCTAGCGCCATCCCCTTAGTCCCACAGGGCTGGAGAAAACTCCACAGCCCTGCTGACTGGTCTTGCTTTAAATTCATGACCACTAACCTCAAATGGGCACTTAGTAGCACTGCCCGGCAATCCTACCACATTTGCGTAGTTCATTTGCTCTCAAACTCTCCCAGAAGATAACTCTTTCATATCTGCTTCTCTCCTTCCCAACCTCCATAGTCTCTCCCACCCTCACCCCTCTCAAGAAGTAGGGTCTGTGGCTATTTCACTAAGAGAAGAGAAGCAGTAGAAGAAAACTTCCCTATGTTCCTGCCCTGCAGCCACCAGCCAAGTGCATCTGGGCCCACACACTGTCTTCCCTCCTGTGTCTAGCTTCTCTGTTGCATCAGTGCTCTGGCCTCCTAGCTCTTCCCCGAATGGGTGAAGTAGACGCAGGTTCAGGGGCTTTGCACTTGCTCTTTACTCTGCTTGGGAGTTTGGAGACCCTCCCCCTAGATCAATGGCATGCCCCTTTCTTCCTCCAAGACTTCTTATTAGGAAGCTTTACCCTAACCCTATAGAAATAGCAATCTCCCCCATTCCCAGTCCCTTCTACCTGGCCTCTTCCATCCCATGTACCACCCACCACCTAGCATATTTGTGTATTTATTCTTCTTTGATGAGAGCAGGGATTCTTATTGGTGAAGTTTGCCGTTATATGCCGCCCAGTAATTAGAACCGTACTCCATTCATTCATTCATTCATTCATTCATTCAACAGGTGTTTAATAAGCTCCCACAGAGTGCTAGATACTACCCTAGGCTCTGAGGGAATAGCAATGAACAGAACAGAATCAAAGGCCTGCTCTTCTGGCCAAGTAAGTAGTTAGGTAGTGATAGGCAAAGAGGATTACAAGATACGTGTGTTTGGGAGGGGTGGATAGAATTTTAGGTAGAGTTGCCAGGGTGGGCCTCACTGAGAAGGGAACACTTGGATGAAGACCTGATGGGGAGAGGGGGTCGGACACAGCTAGTGTGAAGGCCCTGAGGTGGGACTGTGCCCAGGTTGCCTCAGGACTTGTTGAAAGGCCAGGACGACTTGAGGAAGTAGGCTAGGAAGAGAGTAGGAGACCAGGTGAGAATGGGAAAGGAAGAGTCAGGAGGGCATGTAAGTGAGAGTTTTGTGCATTGTAAGAACTCTTATTTTGAATGAAATGGGGATCCCAGGGAAGATTTTTTTCATACAATGATATTAATACACATGCCACATTCAAGCTTTGACAATTATCTGAATACTGTCTTTTTAAAAAAAGTATCCGTGATTTTTTTTTTTTTTTAAGATTTTATTTATTTGACAGAGAGAGAGAGAGAGACACCGAGAGAGGAAATACAAGCAGGCGAAGTGGGAGAGGGAAAAGCTGGCTTTCAGCTGAGCAGGAAGCCTGATGCGGGGCTTGATCCCAGGACCCTGAGATCCTGACCTGAGCCAAAGGCAGACACTTAATGACTGAGCCACCCAGGCGCCCCAAAAAGTATCCAAGTTTTTATTACCATTTAAAGAAATAACTTGCACAAAGGGCAAAATAAAATTGCAAAGCATGTGTAGTGTTCATAATTATCATTTGTGGCTACTAGGATTGCACTCAGAAAGGTCATGTGTAGGTTAAAATGTTATAATTTTGTAATTTTTATAACATAAAAAGTAAAGGCTATCATGCCATTTTATAGCTTCCCCTGCAATCCTGGATCTAGTCAAGGATCACACACTGGGTTTAGTTGTCATGTCTTTTTTAAACAGCTTTATTGAAACAAAATTCACAGACTATATAATTTACCATTTAAAGTGTACGATTCAATGGCTTTTAGGATATCCACAGAGTTATGTAAGTACCATCACAGACTAATTTTAGAACACTATTTTTTTTAACCCCCCCAAAAGAAACTCTGTAACCCTTAGCTACCACTCCTCCCCAACTTCCCTACTCCCCCAAACATAGATAACCACCATTCTACTTTCTGGCTCTAGAGACAGGCCTATTCTGGAAATTCATAGAAATGGAAGCATCCAATACGTGGTCTTTGTTCAAGGTTCATTCATGCAGCCTGTGCCAGTATTTCATTCTTTTTAATGACTGAATAATGTTCCATTGTGCATATAGCACATTCTAGTTACCAGGGAAGGGTTTTGAGCAGGAGTGACCTGATCTAAGTGGCATTTCACAAGGCTCACTCCAGCTGTTATTCCAAGGAGCAGAGAATGATGAACTGTGTCAAATGCTGTTTTTAGGGAAAATAAGATGAGGTCCAGGATTTGACCGGGAAGTGCTCAAATAGTTTAACAGAGAAACTAACTGAAATACTCCAGTCTATAATTTACAAATGGTATTTTCTGTGTTTTATGGGATTTGTATTTGTATTGCCTTTGAATCATTAAACATGGAATGCAGAAATATTAAGAAATAAGAATTGGGGCACCTGGGTGGCTCAGTGGGTTAAAGCCTCTACCTTCGGCTCAGGCCATGAACCCAGGGTCATGATCCCAGACTCCTGGGATCCAGCCCCATATCTGGCTCTCTGCTCAATGGAGATTCTGCTTCCTCCTCTCTTTCTCTGCCTGCCTCTCTGCCTACTTGTGATCTCGGTCTGTCAAATAAATAAACAAAATCTTAAAAAAAAAAAAAGGAAATAAGAATTTAAAATAGAATGTGGACATGTAAAGGTCCATGAACAATTGGAGAGTACTATTAACTTACCTCAGTGTTCGATATTTTCTTTATACGGATGGTAATGATTCTTTGGGTTCATGAGAAATTTATTCCTCAGAGTAATTATTCCTCTCTAAACATAACTCAACATTATGGTAATTATCCAAGATTTCATGCCAGCTTCCAGATAGCTAGCCAAGGGAAAAATTAATTCTTACCAAAAGATATGTTCAATGTCTATGCAGATTAGGTTAGATGAGAGCCAGTTTGTTTTTATTTTCAGGGGTTGGTGTCATATAAAAGATTGTAGAAATGGGATCAAAAATTGAGTTCCGTTGTGGCATCTGTCATTATTTAGAACAAGGTTACCTACTTGAATCATTAGATACTGAACTGACATAAAACACATAATATTGATTCGGGTTTTGGTATAAGCGCATACAATAGTACTAAACTCTCCAATTCTGGGTCCGTGCAACTTCTGGGGCTCGCAAAACATCAGAAAGTTAGTGAAGAGCAACGGAAACTAGGCATAGAAAGGAGAACCTCGAAAGATAATTGTCAAAAACGCACTCCGCGTTTAACGATCCGGTTCGGAGGGCGCGGTAGACGGGTAATGAGCAGTTCGGAAAATAGATACTGCACCCCGAACTTCATTTGAGGATAATGCACCAAGCCCGCTCTAGCGGGACTAAAGGAAGCAGGGGAGGAAAGCTGTTTTTTTCTCCCCGGAATAAATGGGGTGTGGGGCCGAGGCGGGGGGGAGGTGGCTGGTCCGGGCCCCGCGCTCGCTCGCGCTAGCCGGCCGGGAATTTGGAGAGGATCCCTGGTCGCGCGGCGGCGGCGGCGGCAGCGGCGGCGGCGGCGGCGCGCGGGTGCGCGTGTGAGCGAGCGAGTGAGCGTGCGGGCGGGCGAGTGCGCCGGGTATTGGCAGCCGAGGAGTGGAGGCTGGGCGGCTCCGACTCCCTGACGCCAGCGCGACCAGATCAATCCAGGCTCCGGGAGCGAGCGGGCGGGCGGGAGGAGGAAGGAGAGGCCGAGCGGCTCAGCCCGGGCCGAGGCGCGGGGAGGCACTCTGGGAGCGCAGCGCCCCGCCGGCCGGACCGGGGCCGCAGGACCCCGCTCGTCCGGCCACTCGTGCGCCCGCGCGGACGGGCGCGCCGCCAACCCGGTAAAACGAAACAGACCCGAACCCAACTTTCTCCTTTGCCGCGTCCCCGCCCTCCCTCGGCGCCTAGGGCTTCCCAGCGCCGCCGCCGCCTCTTGTGGGGCAAGCGCGGGCCCGCGGGGCTGCCGCGGTTGTGCGGGGCCGGTGACGCGGGCCTCGGTGGGGAGGGAGCTCTTCCCCGCGTGGGGCGGACCGGGGGACCCCCCCCCCCCCATGATGGCGCCTCCCTGCCGCTCCGAGGAGCGAACCTGCCACCTCCTCCTGCTCTGGCGCCCAGCCGGCCCGGCAGGTTTCGGCCGGGGTTCCCCTTGCGTCTTTGTTGGGTCTGCGGCGGGGAAGCCGCGCTCCTCGGCCCTGAGCCTCGCCCCCAGCCCTGGCTGCGGCGGGACCTCCCCTCCCTCTGTCCCTCCCCCTCCTCCCGTTCCCCGTTTCTCTTTCCCTTTCCGCAGCCGGGCCGAGGCCCGTCCGCGCTGCCCGCCGGCCCATTGTGTCCCGCGCCGGCCCGGGCGACCCTTGCGGGAGTTGAGGACAGCGGCGGGCGCTGCCCTCTCCGCGGTCGGCGCCTCGCGGAGCGGGTCTGGCACGAGGGGGACACCGGTGCCCTGCGCCCCTCCGCATCCCAGACGGCGTCCTTTCTTGGCCCCCACGAGCCCCTTGGGGGTCGAGGTCAAGGAAAGTTCGGCACCGAAATTCCCTCTAATTTATTCAAAGGCGCGGCGGCGGCGGCGGCGCGTAATTTTTTTTTCTCTCTTCCGCCTACACCCCGTGCGTCTCCCAAGTGTCGTCTCATTCCTTTCCCTTTACCGGATTCGATTGCCTCACTGCATGTGTATTTGTGAGTTCGCTGTTGAACAACTGTTCATTTACTCCGCTGTCTTTGTTAGTGCTTCTCGGGGTGGCTGCCGCAGGAAGGTGGGGGGAGTGGGTGTGAGAGAGACAGACGTGGGCTTGTTTTTCTAGTTGCTTAATATACATGTAGGCTGGAAGGGAGGACGTTTCCTTGATGTACTTGGGAAGGGAGGAGGAACGAATGCCTGCCGGATCTCACAGCTACAGTAGCTGCGGCTTTTGTTTATTCCGAGGCGCTTACGATTTTTCAGTCTGCGGTGCAAGATAGTGAGACGCTTCCCTTCTGGACATCGAAGCGCGTCTCAGCACCATCTCCTTGAGAAAGCATCGTTTTCGTGAGTGCTGGGGCAACCGGCCTTTTCCTTTCTCCTCCTGTTCTCTTCTTTCCAGTGCATCTCAAGTTCCAAAGTATGTGCAGTGGTACAGAAGTTGCATGATTTCGGTATGTCATCCTGTTGCTGGAACTCTTGGCACCTAAATCACAGAATGCCTTCATTTCCGAACATTTCTTACTCTAATAGCCTGTGGTGTTCAACATGCCTCCTTTCAGTAACACAATGAGAAAACTGTTCTCTGCCCATGTTGACTTTTCATCTTGTTTATAATTACCACTTTACGTTTTATGGGAAGTAGCTGAGCTGTATTGGAACCACTATTAAAAAAAAAAAAAATCAAGGCAGGACCCATGTCCAGGGCTCCAGCATTTTCAAGTAGTAGAAATATTTTGCATCATTGTTATTCTGATGTAGGTGCCAGGCCTGAGTACGCTGGACTGCTTAAGGTGTTTGTGCTCCTCTCTCCCTCCCTCTTTCCCATTTACAGTTATTTGATATTTCCCTGCAGGTGGTGTACATTTGTGTGATACTGCAATTCTTAAGAAACTGTAACCAGGGTCATGAGAGATGATTTTCTAGAGGTGGGTGATGCGCGAGCCTCTGGAGAATACAGGCAGGATCGGGTTTCTTCTGAGGGTAGGGATTTGTCCTTGATTTAGTTTTGACCCCTCCAACCATAGGTGTGTAACTAAATACATTTTTCTTTTTTGCAGCGTCCATTGGTTTTATACCCTTGAAGAACTGATGACCTTTGCATTTTAGAGGAATGACCATTTTTAGGCAATTAAAAATGTTAACCTCTTAACCAATTTAAGTAATTTTTTCCTACTAAGTTCATTAAAGCATTAAGTTAATCATTTAACAATAAATGTTAAAAACTAAATTTCAGATTGTGATTTTGATTTATAGTAATTCTGGGTTAGAGATAAAATTTAATGTCTCGGTTAGATAGGAAAAAGAAGGAACTGAGGTGTAATTAGATGACTATATTTAAGCTGTAGTCGCCTACATAATCAAGGCCAAGTTGTGTGTGTATAAGAGATCTCATTTGTGTAGTCTTACAAGGCTAATGGAGGCATCATTGAGGCTTTATAAATAATGTAAGTTGTGTATAATGTAGAGTCTCCAGAGACAGCAGAGAAAGCATCATTACCAGCCTTTTCAACCTGCTTGAGATCTTAAATTGATTTACAGCACTGAACTGGTGCAAAATGATACATCAGGATGACATGGGGTCAGCCTGTAAAAGTCTATGATGTCAGCCTATTAGTTCAGTCATCATAATTAAACCATATTACAGGGGCAGCTAAGCAGGAGTCTGGCGTTATACTTCAGATATGGGTGGTACATGGATTTTGTTTATAGTGGAAAGGCTGAGCTGCCCAGGAACGCTGGTGTTTCTGAAAGAGGGAAAGGCTTACAGAACTCTGAATTTTTGAAGAAACTGAAGATAAACGAAAGGATTTTCAGTCTGCATTGTCTAAGGAACTTTCTATTTGGTAGTGCAGAGACAGATGCATTGGGGGTCTGATAAGGACCTTTACAGCTCTGATCCCATGTACTGAATCAGGCTGCATGTGAGCTTGAATTTAACGTGGCCTTAGGGACCTTCTAGAATATTAGGACCACATGCTTCTTATCTCTGATCCTTTCATTAGCACTGAGTTGCACTGTATTGATGGATCAGCTGGCATTTTATTTCTTTAACAAGTCACGGTTACCAGGTCTCCACTGAAAGCAAAGAAATTTGAATTGAATGTATGATCAGCTTTGGAAAAGAAGACTCTCGTTTTTTGCTGAAATTTCTGCAATCTTTATTCAGTTTATGGGTCATCTCGGGAGGTACTGTCTAATAAGGTAGCTATAGCTACATAGGGGGATTTTAATGTTAATGAAACGGATATTCATGTTCTCAGTAGCACTAGCCACATGTGGCTAGGGGCTACCATGTTGGACAGTGTGTATTTCCATTATCACAGAAGGATGTTCTGGGCAGTGCTACTCTGGGACCTTTACTTCTGCTTTTCCTTTCTACTCCTCTTTCAGCTACTTCTCTGCTTACCACTTCTAATGACTTTGTGGGGTCAGGAAAAGAAAAGGATGTTTCATTATTTTTTTTTTCCACTTACTAGTTGCTCTTGGTAAAATAAAAAACAGTTTGGAAGTGATAATTGGAAGTAGTAGATCAAATGAGATTGATTCTTCTCTGGATCATATTTATCATAGACCCTAATTTGATTTAGAATGTCGTTAATATTTTTCTGGGTTTTTCTTATATGCTTATTTTTAATACTCATACCTTATTTAAGCCCCAAAACTTACCTAAGTATTGTTGTTACCACATTTTACAGGCAAAGAAACTTGAGTTCAGAGTGATTCAGTGTCTTGCCTCAGGCTACATAACTAGTAAGTGATTATGATTTATAATCTTAGCTGGGATATGAACAGGCAATCTGACTCTAGCACCTTTTAACTATATATATATATATATATATATATATATATATACATACACATACATACACATAGATAACTATGTATATATAGGTTAATTTATACGTAAACTTTTTCTTTTGAGAATATTCAAATAAGCATTGTTCTGCTGGGTTTTACTATTCCAGTATGGACACGACGACTGACTTTTTAGGCTTTTAGACAGATTTGCCCTCTGTTGTGCTTTTCTGGTCTGTCTTCTGGTGCTGTCTTTTGAGTGCTTTAGAAGAAACATAATGTTTACATTATACATATTTAAGCAGAATATGATTGGAAGAGTAAATCTGACAAAAAAATAATGCATTTCAATGCTGAATTATTTTCATCTCTGCTTTTCTGGATAATCCCTGCTACTTTCGCCTTGTGTTTTTCTTGTACTATCACAGGCTGATAGTAGCGAAGAGAAAAGTTCTAGCAGTTCAGTTTATCTCGTCAATATTAGTCTTCTCTTAGTTGTTAGATACTGTGCTTTGAGATGAAAATAGTTCAGGGCAAATCTTGGAAATTTTTTTCCACATTTGATGTCTACTTTTGTGTAGTCTTGCAGTTATCCTAAACCCCTTTTTAAAAATTAATTAATTTATTTATTTATTGGGTCAGGCCTTTAAGAATCTGAAGGAACCATGGATCCAATATCAGCTCATTCCCATCCTCCAATCCAAAGATCCTCCCATCCAAAAATGTTTATATGCCCTGGTGAGCTTGTATACACAAGTACCCAAATTGCATGATATTTCAGGTGAAGGACATCCATGGAACAGCCTTGCCAAGTGCGTTCATAAACATTAAGATGTGTAATTTCTTTCGTAGGGAATAGAGATATTTAGTGTTAAAAGCTATTTTGAAGATTTTCTGATCCCATTGGTTCATAACAAACTGTGTGGTCTGAGGCCAGAGAAGATAGCCAACTTGCCTAGAGTCACCCACCAAAGTGACTAGAAGAGGGAAAGCCAGAACTTGGAGCACTCTTAGAGATGTTGAGTTCTCATTTGTTTATCCTCTCCTGCTACGTTCATTGTGTTCCTAAGGTTTTGCTCTGAGCATATCCAGTGTAATTTGGTGAGGGGAGGAGAGGATAATTTTTGGCATGGCATCAACTTTTTTGTACCTAACATTGAGCTGAATAGGAATCAAGTCTCAAAACCTCAGAGAGATGTTTTTTCCAGATTGAAATTGATTTTTTTTTTTTTTAAATCTTAGAGATGGAAAAGAAAAGCTCTGTGTCTCATTTAAGCAATGGGACCTTGATAGAAAATGGGAGATCCAAGATTGTATCAAGATCAAACTAAATCAGGCAATTTTCCTATACAGATTTTCTCTCCTGACTCTCAAAAGCAAATCATATTCTTAACCGAAAGCTAAAGTTTGGAGTATTTAAGGAAGGAGCTAGGGGGTATTAGGGAGAGAATTGGAAAGGTCTGAGGACAAGAAGGATAATTTACCTACAAAGAGGTAGAGGAATTTGATATTAAGTCACAAAATGAGGCTGATGAGGTGCTCTCTGTAATGCTGCTTCTATATGTGGTTTTACTGTTCATTCTTTCTTTCTCTCCTCCTCTCTTTCTATACCAGACTGCCAGTTTCTTATAAAGGATTCAGCTCAGGAATAACAGAAAGCAGAAGTGCATAGGGGAAGGAGTGCGGAGCTTCCACTTCCTTTCCAGGTTTGCCACTCTCCTAGCACGTCGATGTGTTCTAACAACTTAGAAGCTCTGGTTTTACTTTTTGTGCCAAGATTAGCAGGGGATACTTTGATAACAAATAAGGGTATTGCCTTTTTCTTCCAAACTGAAATCTCTTGGCTCTTTTTATTCCTTTTCTGCTATTACCTGATAGTGCAAATAGTGGTGATTTGTCCTCTGATTGGCAGCAAAAATACCTGAAGAATTTTTAACACTTACTCTGGAGTAACTTCCAAAAAAAAAAAAAAAAAAGGCAGAGCTAGTAGCATGAATGTAATTACTTAAAATCTAAGTTAAAATCTTTATTTTGGTATGCATTATTAAGATGGAGTCAATTTTAGAGATGTACAACAAGTCCTATCACGTAAAAAAGTAACATTTTACAACTACTGCTGCCTGATTTGCAGAAAGGAACAGGCTCTGTAGAACACTCATTTATGTAAGAGAGGCTGTTTTTCAGAACAAATCCAAGACTTTCATAAATAGTTCAACTCCAGTGATCACATCAGTTTTAGGAAGATACTAGGAACTGCAGTGTTTGAGTGGTTTTACGTCTTTGTAGTTTTTGTTATAAGCTCCATTCAGAACTCAAATCAAGACTCCCTCTTGAAAATAAAACACCCAGCTTTTGAAGGTTTGAGGGAATCCGTACCTGGCCATTTCCCCCAAATCTCTGCTCAGTTATAATACTCAGATCAGGAGCCTTGTTCCTTCATTAAGAACCCAGATCTAAGGTGTGGTGGATTGGTTTCTTAACTAATTTTCATGAGACATACCCTTGAATGTAAAGAAAGAATACATACACACATGGCAGTTAATTATGCATCTAGATGCGAATATAAATAAATATTTACTATGTCATATTTGCAAAGAGGAGGATAGAGGGGTCTAGCTATTGATTCAAAAATATATTTATATACATAATTTTTAAGTGC